GCGCAGCGAGTTTCGTTCACACTTGAATCCTAGAGGCAACTAACTTGTGTCTCTCAATTATTCTTTGTGCCTACTCCCGAACCTCACTCGGCGACAGCGACACAACGCTGTCGCCCCGCTAAAACGGTACTTCTTAAGCGACAACATGCAAATATTGGCTGATGCAATATGATGAAATCAACTCCGAAAACTACGACCACACTCATACAACCTCATTACACACCGACACTATAACCACACGCATAAGTACGAAGGCATATAGAAAAGGGAAAATATGCGAGCAGGTAGTAAGCACAATTACAGTGCGCGCCAACATATTAATACTACTTGCTTCGACATATACATATATAGATATCAGTTAGCTGTGGCTAAAAAAGGTTAATTTTAATCTGTGGTTAAAGCGGAAATACACATGACCAAATATTTGTTGTGTTTCTTAGGCATCATTTCACACGAAATTAAATAAACATGCTTATGAAGGAATTTAGTCAGCTATTGGCTGCGCAGGATTCTCTATGAATTAAACCAGATGTTGATCTACCTGTATACATCTATCTAGCCAACAGGCGTCTTAGATAAAAGTAAGCTTTATTTGATTTGGCAAGCCTAACTTAACTGTTCTCTACGTCTATAAATGCTTACCCCCTCTCTCCCTCTTTGAATGCAGTTTTTGTAGCTCTCAACTTGTTTCTCCTAGAATTTCTTTAACTGCCTGCACTTCGAAGTGCGAGAGCAGATTTTAAAGTGTTTGCCCTTAAGATGTTAGTGTTATTCTGCTTGGCTCTCGCCCCTCGCTCCACGCCCCTGGCTTTGTCTCTGTGCGCTTGCTGAATATAAGATTTGTTGTACTAACTGTTGTAAGCAACTTCCGTTTCCCTTATCATCCGCTTTGTTGAACGATGCGACGCGTCGTGGCAACTGTGGCAGCTGCTGCTGCTGTTGCTATTGCTGCTGTTGCTGCTGTTTACCCAGTTAGCAAAACGTAACTTTAACAACGTTAACGTGCTTACGTTACGCAACATATGCGCAACAGCCACTAACACACACACACAACTACTCACGAAGATGCACGCCCACATTACGCCCACACTCTGCTGTCAAGGCGACTTGTGTCTGTTTTTAACTAAATTCATTTTGGCAAGTTTATGAAAATTGTTGTTGCTGTTGTTATGATTGCTCTTGTTGTTGTTGCTGTTGTTGCTGTTGCTGTTGGTGTTAGTGTTGGTGCTGGTATTGTCGGGGCTCATTAGGAAAACAAAAGCTACAAGAGAAAACTTTCAGTTCTTTTTTCTTTTTCGTTGGTTGCTTTTCTTGCCACTTTTCTTGCTACATCCTATACCCTGTAAAATGAGTTGAGCAGAGTATACGCAATGTAATCTATTTTAAATTTAAGTTTTTATTATACACTTTAGTTATACAATTTTACTTTTTATTTTAGTCTTCCTCGAAATTTTCAAAAGTAAATTTCCTCTTATAGGGCATCTCTTGGCCTTGCAGACAGTGCTTCCACTTCCACTTGCTTTTATTGCCGTTGTTATAATTAAGTTGATTTTATTAACCGAATTTTACAAGTACTTCCAAGCCCTGGCTGTGGCTGGCCTTCACACTTAGAGCTGTTGCTCTGCTGCCTGTTTCACATTTATTGAACTTTTACGCTTTTGAATTATTAATTGTATTGTTTTACAAGTCGCTTGGCACTGCAACAGCTGTGTTTGGGCAACAACTCGCTCGCTCGGCTCTCTGCCTGACTCTTGCCTTTAAGTGTGGATAGATCAGATTTCATTAAGGGAATTTGGTTTCTAGCTAACAGTTTCTAGAAAGTGTCGTAATAGCCCAACCCGATTGGCCTAACACCTTAAGGTGAATTGTTGCAGATCTTAACAAAGTCAATTGCTAGTCCATTTAATTGGTATATATGGGAAAGACATTTAGCTATAATTTGTGTCTTCAACTCATAGACATTTAAGGCGTATCAAATATGCTTCTATTTATTTATCCAAATACTTATGTCACAGGCAAATGAGCCATTTTTATTGCTGCTAACAATGTTTGCATAATTTTTGCTTTTACTTCCGGAAGAACCTTCAAAAATAAAACTGCCTAAGATAAGCAATTGGAGTGTTTATCGTAAGTAGGTGTATAAATTTTACTTTAAGCTCTCAAATTATGTGACACATTTCACATGCACTTGTATACAATTATGTGCACATTAGCATATATTTCTCTCTCTCTTTCTCTCTCCAGACAGAGAGATAGTCTTTGCCTCTCTTTTTGCTTTACAATTAGATGCGCAATTAGGCATTCAAGCGCGTTTGACAAAACAAAAAAATGCTGCCTACTTTTCGGTGCGCATAAATAAAACTTAATGGCCACAAAAACAGCTGCTTAACCGCTCGACTGCGAATAATAAATGTGGAGTCAAAACCTTGCTGCGACTACTAGATACCCTACAAACGCAAATAAAAATATTTTATGGAGCTATATTCTTTGTCTTAGCGAAATATTTTACTTCGTTATCGAACTTCATTTAAAAAATGATTACCCTACCGATAACTATATTTAAGTAGCTGATTAAGTTATCGATAACAAGATATTGTTAGTGAATTGAAAAGAAGCGCGAATTACTTTAAACATCGTGATTTACTTAATATATCTGAAGATTCTTTATATATTAGAAAGCCTTCTGGAATCAATTCCCAATGATTGCTAAGTGTTTAATATAATAATTAATTGCTATTTTTATTGCTAGCCCAAGGTATAGCGTGTACCAGATAATTGCACAGATTGCTTCAATTCTGCTCTTGATTTCGCAGCATTCAAATTCATTGTTGTCGTCCCCTCCTCCGCCCCCTCGCCCATACCACCTAATTGGCATGCCATGAATAATATTGTCGTGTATGTGAATGTGCAGGCATATGTGTATATGTATGTACATATGTATGTATATGTGCAGTTGCATATATGCAGCTGTGAATGAATGTGCTTGAATGCTTTAAACAGTTGCTAGGTGGGCGGGGCAGGCGAGGCGTTTACGCAACATGCGTATGCATAAATTCACGCTTAATTAGCAACACGCCACGCCCATTCGTGTTTTGTGGGAGGTAATTAGCCAATTGCCGCCAACTGGCTGGAATGTGTCTTAAATAATATATAGCATACAGCGCTACAGCTGTGAGTGTGTGCGTGTGTGTGTGTGCGTGTGTGAGTGTACACCTTATTACTTTTTCGGCAGCTAATTGCCAAAGGAGCTGTAAACTGAAAAGAAGCTGTGGAAAAAGTGTATTTAGCTACGCAGCGCCAAAATTTAATTTGGCCACGCGCCGCAGTTTGTTTTTCGTTGCCTTATTAACTGACTTTTTGACGCAATTATGTTGCCGCTGTGCCGCCCACCAGCTGGCCACGCCCACTGCTAAAGCTTACAATTCGACAGCGGAATGTGGCACGTGTCTTCAGCATTGCTTTGGGGATTCGCCAGCCTGTTCGCAACCATTTGACTGCTGCTGCTCCTTCTCCTGCTGCTGCTCCTTCTCCTGCTGCTACTGCTGCTGCTCCTGCTGCTGCTGCTGCTGCTGCTGCTGCTGCTCCTGCTGCTCCTGCTGCACGCACGTTTCAACAGCTGCAACTAGAGTTAGATGGGAGTGTCTGTGGTAAGTGTGTGTGTGTGCTTGTGTGTGTGTGTGACCCGCAAACTTTTAACCAAATTGTTTAACTAAGTAGCTAAAGCTCATAAGCACGCAGCACAATGCACACACGAGTTACGGCCGTAAGCTGCTAGCAAAATGCATTAGA